TATTTTGGACGTAATCTCGTCTTTGTTTACATTAGCAAGTATCGCTAACACTCAGAGCTAACCTGTACTGGAGAGCACATGTGTTTAAAAAGCAGGAAATAAAAAAAGGAACTCACCTTGTGATAAACCCGCAAGAGAAAAAGCATTTGAGCTCCATACTGTTTCAGAAATAATCCTTGATGTGGTTTAGAACAGGATGGCGTTTTATCACAGCAGAATTTAACTTTATCTCCGGTAGAATTCTGATCAGGCATTAGCTCCGCCTCCTCTTTTCTTTTTTTTTCAAGCTAAGGACCCAAAGTCTGCGTTTCTCTAACAGGGCTGAAACAGAGGGGTATGAGCAGTATGAGGCATGGCTACAATGGGGGATCTGTTTGGTATTTTAAGCAAAAAACTTCACAGACATGTTTTGTATAGGTATGGCCCTACAATATATTTTTCCAATATAGCATAATAGGTCCCCTTTAAGTAATTCCAGTGTCCGTTGAATTCCAACACAGAGAAATGATGTCAGTGTTTAAAGAATAAAACAAAATGTTCATTTTACTCAAAGACATAGTAAAAGCAGAGAAACTGATAATGCTGCAGTGGTCTCTTAATGCATTTTTATCAATTTTGTTTCCATAGAAACGGCAAATGCATTGTCACACACACATTTCCTTGTGTTTCTTGATTAACTCTGCCTTTGCCTGTCTTCTATGGGCTGTCAAATTAGTGAAAATGTGTCTTTAATTGCTCACGTTTGTCCACTTTGCCACCGCACATTTAATTGAAAAGAGAGATTGAGCTTCAGGGCAGAACAGAATGGACTGTGCTGTTCTCTTAGTAGAGGTAGAACTTTGTTGAATAGCAGATGGTGGAGGGGGAAAAGGTCAATGAAACAACCTGAAAAAAGGGGGCCTTCCGACACATTTATCCTCTGCAGGAAGAGAAATGAGGGCACATCACTGGAGGTTATGGAGGGAGGACAAGAAGCATTCGCTAGTTAGAGGAAGAAGGATGGAGGTTTTGGGTCTTAATTTTGACGAAAACGAATCAATGTATAATTTATTATGGTGGTAACACAATACACAATTTGATCAATGTGCCGTTGACATGCTAATGTGTAAAAAGAAAGCCTAATGTGGTTGTGTGTCATTTAGAGAGCCAGACTTCACGTTCAAGTGTCGTTTTTTAAGTCCCCAGCTGTGCACATATCACACCCTCTCTCAACACACACATATTCATACATTACCTGGTTTCTGTAGCTTATAGGGTTCTTAATAATGAACTTTTAGGAATATTAACGCAGGCACATGCGCACAGGAAGAATCAAAACATAAGGTTTGTATCACTTTGACCCCGCACCCTGCCAAAGCCCATTTACCATCGTGTTCATGTAAACAAGCCTCTTCCCTTCCTTCTTCTCTAAACATCAGCCTGTCCAGCCCAGCAGAACATCCACTCCCCCCCACCCATCCTGCTGTTCCCCTACCGCACGCACGCACGCACGCACGCACGCACGCACGCACGCACGCACGCACGCACGCACGCACGCACGCACGCACGCACGCACGCACGCACGCACGCACGCACGCACGCACGCACACACACACACACACACACACACACACAACACACACACACACACACACACACACACACACACACACACACACACACACACACACACACACACACACACACACACAGTACCCATCTGCTTCTGCTCTCCAGACCTTGCATCTGGCCTGCCATGAACCATATCTCTGTTCGAAACAAACACACCTGATTTAAACACACACACACACACACACACACACACACACACACACACACACACACACACACACACACACACACACACACACACACGCACACACACACACACACACACACACACACTTCTGTTCTTGCAGCCTCAGAACAGAGAGGGCATAGCCGGAGATGTGAACTCCCTTCAACTCAGCAGGAAACACAGAGAAGCAAAAACAAAAGCAAATCTGCTTCTGAAAAAGAGTTCTTAAAGAAAAGAAAGGCGGATAGAGAAGGAATTAGATTGTTGCAGGAATGAAAGGGATATTTTGAAGAAAATAAAACGTACTGTGGGAAGCTGGCAAGTCAACATGTTGCTCAGTGGAGGATGTGAAAAAAAAAGCTCCCCCCACCGTCAGAAATACATTATAGATAGCTAATTCAAATCCATACACTCCCGCAGCACCGCAGCCAGCATGAGACACAGACTGAATGTTCTGTGTGTGTGTTCCTGTATGCAAAGCCTTTGTGTTGCATAATTAACAGAAATCATCGTGTTATCATGGGAATTTTACCATGCATTCAGCTGCTCGCCACGTGGGTTACAGTATCAGTTGCATTGATGTGATGCATGTGACACAGAGATGACAATTAAACACACACACACACACACACATACACACACAGCAGACATCTGGCACAGTGACAATGTAACAGCTATGATGCAATGTTGGCCCTTTGGTGTCAAAACACAGTTTACGTCACATGTGTGCACACATGCACAAAGATGAGCTGACACACAAATATGACGCAGATTGATTCAGTTTGTATTTAGTCAGGAAATATTGTAAGTTCATCAAGTGATGCACTTTTTAAAAAAACACACAAAATGATGTTATTTCTGGCTCCTAAATTGTACATTTGCAGCTTTTCTTTCTTTAAATGATATTACAATTAATATATTTTGGTTGAAGACCGTGAGTCAGACAAAATGAAACATTTGAGGAGGTTATCTCGGGCTGTTGGAAACTCTGACTGACGTATTCAGACATATTAGGGACAAAAGACGAATGACTCAATGGAGAAAATAACCAGAAAATGTACATTTGATGAAAGTAATCACAACACCAAGAAAAGACCCATAAAAACACACAAATGCTTTGAGCAACTCAACTTAAGAAATTCTACATTTCTCTATCTTTCACTCAAATACATCAACTCAATATTTACCAAGCATAAGTTCAAACTGTTTTAAGGTAAGGAAACTGACTGTATAAGCGTGCTTGTTTGTGGGCATGTAAGATGCAAGTGCTCCTTTGTCTGCATGACTGCGTACCGGTTAATTGTATGTGTGCATGTGTGTGTGTGAGGAGCATGAAGAGTGTGTGAGGGAAGATGGGAAGGAGGCTGGCTGTCAGGATGTGGAGTCCATTGTTTGTCCGACAATGAAGAGATCGAGTCGGCAGGAGTCCTGTGGCTCTCTCAATGGAGGCATTAACATCTGGGGCCAGAGGGCTGCAGCATGTGTGTGTGTGTGTGTTTTAGTGTGTCTGTGTGTGTGTGGCTTTGTTGCAACTGCCCTGGATAAAACTGGATTTTCAGGGCTTTTTTTTCAGACTGGGAATAATGCACATGTCAGTAAGAATGCTTCAACAACCGAGCTAGTAGACCACCAGTCTTGTATAATCTTCTCTGCCTATGTATATCAAGGATTATGTCTAGTCTCAAGAACTGGATTTTACTAATTAAAAAAGGTGAGCAAAGTCAATTTTAGGTGGGATTATCTCCGGCTACATCTCTCTGTACTGCAAATGTCAACTCTCTGCTCCATGCTAACACTGAATTCTACCAGTGAATTACTTGTGTTCATCTTTTCAAACAACACACTGTGACACGCACAATCCACCCGCTGACCTCGTGAAAAATAAACTTTATGAGAGAGTGACACAGGCAGAAAGTGGATCCTGAAGCACAGTAAATAAAGTCATCCTCCATCCCACGTGGCAATAACATGACTCCACTTCTCCCACAACTGTCTTTATTCCGCAGGGCCGTACTCCCCCTGTGCTGTCTGAGAGTTAACTGGCAGTGGCACCATCCACCTCGTAAAAAAAAGACAAGGAAAAGCAGCAGACCCCCCACTCCCCCTCGAACCAAACACCACCTTTTTTTTTTCAAATCCTTGCTCACTGTCCAGCCTGCTTTTCTCCTCAGTAATTACAATAATCACTGAACTGAAGCTAATACTTACTTCATTAAAGCAGAAAGGGAATCAGAGGGGGGGGGGGAAAGTACTCCAAAGTAATATCTCAATTCATTGGATTATTGTCACAGTTAGAGCTTAATTTTAGAGTGTCAGCTGAGCAAGCGGGAAATAGAAGCAGCAAGTCTGTCATGTATAACTTCTATGTGATGAAATGAGCTATTTAGAGCTCTGTTGATGTTCTCAGAAAGACGCTAAAAGTCTAAAACCATGCATCGAAGTGAGCAAAATCTCCATAACTCGTCTTTAGGTGGTCAATAGAAGTCACAAAGCAAGTTAGGAGTATTAATGTTATATTATATTGATGCAATAGAAGAGGGAAAACACTATCAAGCTTCCTAAAAGTTTATTATAAGGCAAAACTGAAAGATATATTACAGGAAAAAAGTGAAATACGAACTGCTTTTGCCCCTGGAGTGCATAGATATAATCATGGCATGTTTCAGCACATCAGGAGTGTGATAGTATTAGTTGGGAGTACAAATGAAATATTATATTGATGCAATAGAGCAGGAAAAACACGATCAAGCTTCTTAAAAGTTTATTATAAGGCGAAACTGAAAGATATATTACAGGAAAAAAGTGAAATACGAACTGATTTTGCCCCTGGAGTGCATAGATATAATCATGGCATGTTTCAGCACATCAGGAGTGTGATATTACAGTTTCCCTACAGGGCTGTGATGTGGAGCAGTGTGCTGAGGAAACACTGAGAACCAGCGGAGTTGATTCTCTTCCAGCAGCTCCTGCCCGCAGTGCGCTGTGTTGACACTGCGAGAAATGGAGATAAAGTTGCATCGCATTGAGCCCCAAAACCCTGCAACACCTAGAAGCCCCCGTCCACAGCACGCATTGTGTCTGGCGGCGTCCTATTACCAAGAAAAGGGGGCAACAGTTGGAGATCCGGAGACTCCAGATCATGTCTTGCACCTCTGCTTGCTTCGTCTACTTTTAATCCAGCCGCTGCAACCACCATTACGACAAATAAAGGGCTTACATTTACCTTATTATAGCGGGGATGTTTACGGGCTCCGCGTCCTGCGCTTTCCGCTCCGACGACAGATCCAGTATCCTTTTTCTTTCACCGTTATCTCGGATTTGTTTCTGAATTTGAGTTACAAATTATTCCACATTGCTCATCAATTTCAGATGAATTCGCCCGCTGGTTTTCCTCTCTTTTCCTTATTTCCTCTTGGTATTATTTTAAGGTTGGACTATAAGGCAAATTAAGCCATATGATCCTGTCATTCAGTTTCTACACAGAGGAACTGGCTCTCCGCGCAACTCCCTCCCAGGGCTTTGTAACACGAAACCAGAGGAGGAGGAGGAGGAGGAGGAGGAGGAGGAGGAGGAAGAAGAGGAGGAGGAAGAGGAACAAGAAAAGAAACGTGAATTTAATCCACTATCTGGGACGAGCTAGATGAGTCTATCCGCCTCTGTGCGCTGAAGTTTCAGCAGTCCGTACCGACACATACCGTGGCGCTGCGTGTCTGTGCCAATCTCCACTGGAAATGCCGTGTGTGTATGTGTGAGTGTGTGTGTGACGCTGCAGCGTGTGTGCGCCTCCTCCTGCAGTACGCATCGCAGCAGGGACCAGGGAGGATTTCAAAAACGGCACCCAAACAGGTCTCCGCCCATTAGTGTCTGAACAAGGGCCCCCGACATAGACGAGGGGCCCCCATCAGCCATTACACAGCTTGATTAGGAGCGTTGCATTGTGTGAAAGTGAAGGTCTGTTTTTTGGCAAAGTGCTTCCCAACCTGGGGTCTGACCCGAGAGGTCCTTCTTAACGGGGCTGGGGGAACAGGGTGGCCTGGCTTCAAAAGAGAGCATTGTTAAGGCCCTGACACACCAAAGCAACATTAAGGAACTCGTTTTGACTGTTGTGTCGCCTCACGTTTCCTGTGTCTTGTCTACAAAGTCGCATTTGAACCTGAACACACCGCAAACACTACAAAACATTGCCTTTCAAACAGTACTTCTGCGCCTGCGTGAGAGGAAATAACTCTCCAAGAATTCAACCGGAAAACGCAGGTGTACACAATTCAAAATAAAGTAGCATTTGACGAATATTTTAACAACACTCTCAGTAAACACTTAGCTTAGTAGTTGTGAGGGTATCCGAGTAAATTAGAGAGAGATGTAACGAGGATTTATAACGTGTGACTTTAGTTGTCTGTGTGTTTTCCTAGCTTGCATTTCTCTTCTCGCGCACTTTTCCTAAACGGAACAGCCAATCAGAGAGGTTTATTTCGCCTACACCCACTGGCAGCAGCACAAGCCTCCAGAAAGTGCGCCGACCGTTTGAGCGAATTGCATGAATGTATAATAAGAACCTCGGCGTGGCGAATTGTCGTAGTGGCCAAATGGTGGTACTACAACTTCCGGGTATGTCACTTAATGGAATTGCGACTTAAATAACTTTTTCTCATTGACTTAATGAGAAAGAAATGTCTGTAAATCAGCTCATATGTTTTTTTTTTGTTAAATCAGCCTAAAGTCTCAACACTTGAATAGCCATTATTTAAATGATTAGGTTTTCAAATCGGTTTAATTCATTATTAGCTAAATCCAGAGTTATTTTCCCTCCCCGAGACTGGCTAAATGGGATCGGATAAGTCGACAGACAAACTTGACGTCAAGGTGTTTATATCCAGTCTATTATTATCAGACATTTAGACTAATGTACGGTCCGGATCATCACCATTTCCTGCAAAACTGAATAATAATCAGATCGAAATTGTCTTCTCGACATGACATGTTGAAACTGAGTGGGGAAGTATTTAATAATATTGAGTATGTTTTTTGTGTTTACTCATAAATTGCTATTTGTCTGCTGCCATCAATATAAACGTTCAGCCTTGTTAAAATACCAAATTACAGATTAAAGTCACACAATCATAATGTTGATGTTATGACTATTGTTACTTGACAAGGATGTTTGAGCTTCTATGGAAGGGACAGGGAAAATCATAAAAGGATGGGAGATCTTGCAAATATTTTTTAATTTAAAGGGGACCTATCATGCAAAATGTACTTTTGTACGTCTTTTCTACATGAATATGTGTCCCCGGTGTTCCAGGGAACTCACCAAGTGTCAGAAAACACAACCCTCTCTATTTTCCTCCATACCCAAATCTCTAAAAAAGGGGCTGCAACGGATCTGATAAAAACTGATCCAGATTTGAACACTGTCCTGATGTCAGGACAGTGGCGCTACGGCTATTGGGCCAACTCCACCAATCAGGAGGAGACAGCCACGGCCATTGCCGTTCGAAAGCGCTGGAGACGCTGTAGTACATATGCCAGACCTGTAGGTGGTGCTGTTCTCACAGAATCAGCCCTTGCAAAAACAGAGATAAAAAAAGTGCAAATTGAGCGAAATGAGGCATGGCTAAAATGCATGATCTGTTTGGTATTTTGAAAAAAAAAAAGTATAAATATGCCTTATATAGGTATGGTCCTACACTATATTATTCAAATATAGCATGATAGGTCCACTTTAAGTTAGTGTAACATACTTTCCTTTTGGTTGACTAAAATGTAAAACAAATCATAAGTTATAAACCAGCAGCAGAGGTTCAAATATAATTACTCTTAGTCTCCAGTATGGGTCAAGCTGCACAAACACTGAATCCTACACGTCTTCCAAACTCAACACATTCATCCTTTACTCAGGCTTTCTGTTTGAAATGTTGGGTCTCTAACACATGCCAATATAACCCTGTTGATGTCATCAGAGTTATTCTTTCAGACTTTGAAAAGCCTTTCAAAGTCACCAAAGACATTACCCAGCTGTTTTCACATGCCGAGTAATGCTCTTGTGACTTGTGAGCCGAACTAAATGTGTGAAATTGGTGGAATGCCCCTTTAATAGCTATCTGTATAACAACATTGGTATAGTGAAAGCAGTGTCTACATTGTAGAACACTATGTAAAACACAATCTGAATGTGCAATAAACACAGGAACACATGAAATGACTCATTTGTCCTCCAGTTCGTTGCCTCAGTGCATGCTGGGAGTTGCCTATTGTGCATACAAGCGATATTTCTATCTAAACTCATACACATTTCTCAATCAATGTTGCTCTAAGTATAAATACATAATCTGAGATTATAGGAGTACATACATGAGAGAATAACAACATGTTTATCGATAAAGCTCCAAACATGATTTGCTGCTTTTATGATGAATGTGCAGTCTCTATAGGAGAGGTTTAATATGAAAATTAAAATGTAAATCCCGAGCAGAGTAGACAAAAACACTGTGTTATGATGATGAAGATTAAGTGTGCAGATTAGAAGGCAAATATTAGAATGATAATCTCTATGGATTAGCACAGAAAATATTGCACATTATTTTTGTCTCAGTGTAAGTATTGATGCAGCTGCAGACAGCATGGGGCCTTTTAACCCGAGCACAAATCGATAGGCTCAGACCAGCGTTGGGCTATCTCCCGAAGACAAGGCCAAAGCATCTTCGAATATGTATCAGCTGTCAGGAATACACTCAGCACTTTAACTTGCCGTCTGCTAGCGTATGTCTAGCACCTCGTCTCGGCACCGCCTCATGCCTAAACTGTCTGCGGCGTCTACATTTACATGCCTCCTGAAGATAGTAACCCAAATCCTCACACAGACAGATTACTGAATAAACAAGGCTGAATTATAATGCTTGTAATCTCACACACACACACATCGGGTCATATACGCTGTGGCACAGATCGGTTTGGTTTGAGAGTTAATGACTTTGGATTTAGGACACTAATTTAGAGTTGGACTCTCATTCCACAGCGAGTTAAAAACAGCTCAGTGATGAAAAGAAGAAGTAGCACGGCCTCGGGCCACATCAAGAGAGACGTGTGGGAAAATCTGGGTTTCGTTCTCGAAAGCGGTGCTTAGTGTGGGGAATATGGCCCTCTAGGAATTCAAATAAAAAAAGAAAGCATTTGTTAGGAGAGTAATCTTAAGTAGACCTTCCCTTTGTCTATCCCAGTCAATAACACTTTAAAATGAAACACTATGATGAAAATAATTTGCAGGGATTGTTCACACCTAAGGTTGGTTAAAATAGACTATATTTTAAGAAGAGGCAGCCATGTGTGAAGTTCCATGCCTGACCTCCAGTTCGATTTGTTATTGATGTACTGCGCTGCCTATTCAGCAGCCGGCGATGAATAAATAAGAGTTGCATTGCACGGAACGACTTTATATGGTGTTTTCCCTTGTTCTCATTCTCAATTTCCTATATGCTGAGCCGGTGTAATGCCCCCCAGGCCTGCGAAAGCCACTCAGATCTCACTTTAGAAATCCATGCTGCTTATCGGACAATAATGCAGTCTCTCTGCCAGGCTCAGAAACTTTACATTTGTCAAAGAAGTAACTCTAACTTTGGTTATTAGATTATATTTAGATCTGTTCTCTTTACTTTCTCTGCACTGTACTTCTGCTGTTGTAATAATGGTCATTTCCTCGTAGCGGGACAAACAAAGGAATTCTGATTCTGCCATATTCAATTATATTCATTCTTCCGTTCAGGCTTTAGTTTTAGTGTGACAGTCCAAAATATCTATAATTACAGCACATTTACAGTCTTTTTTCTAACCTTTAAAAAAGTATCATGTTTCCCGTCAAACTGCACTGCGGTTTAATTTGCACCTCCGCTCCAATGAGTGCTTTTTGCTCCCTTTTTTTTTGTTTTGTTCGAACACCTGCAGTGGGTGTGAATGAGCACTCAATTTGTCAGCGTTTCTGTTTATCAGTCAATGTACAGCCGTCAACGCGCTGAAAGCGAAAGCTTTCTCGAACACAGCAATGCCATTGCTTTGAGCATAAGGCCTTGAGAGCGTGAAAGCATAAATTATAGGCTAATGGCTGACAGAGCGGCAAAGAAAGATAGCGGCTGATAGCGAGTCAGCAGCTCTCGCTTACTCTGTTTCTCTCTGCATCTGATAAACAATAACAAGGATACGCCAGTAATTACAGCATTCCAGTAGCATGTTTTTTTAAAGAAATTAATATCAGAGGATAAAAAGATGCAGATTAGCATTTTGCTTTAGAAGAGCTTTAATAGATCATCTTAAGATGATAAAGACTTTAAATAAACCACATGCTTCTTTAGTCTGTGCGCCTTAAGGCTTTTTAAACCCCGGGGGCGCTTTTTTCCGTGCAATTAATTCACACCTTAATATCACTTTTCAAACTGTTATTTTCAAGCACATAAATGTTACAGGGCGAAAAAGTGAAGGAAAAGTTATGCAAAGGACGTCAACAACCAATCAGATTTTTCGAATTGGGTTTATTAATACGTATTCAATCATGTTCAAACACACTACCAACTGAGAGAGAGTTGCACCTATATGCATCATTTGTAATATGAAACAAGATGTTAAACTATATTACTATTACTGTATATCCGCTGGTAAGTTTTTGATTCTTTATTGTCGTTTACATCGCAGTGTGTAGAGACCTTTAGACTACAGAGAGTTA